AAGCGTCACAAACTTTGCAAACATTGGCGTGCTGCATTCTGGCATTCCAACAACACAGCAATAAGCGTGTGATGTTAATTTAGTTATATACATGACTAGCAAGTAAAACACGAAAGTATGGATAGCAAATACATAACTTTACAATTACATACATATAGAGTGAGCGAGAGATAGAGAGAGTGAGAGAACCAGATGAGAGAACGAATGCAAATTTTATTTTCAAAGGGCACAGGCACAGGTATTCACACAGATATACATGCAGGCACAGACATGCACACACAGACACATCATGACAACACACATATACACGCAGCCACACACACAGACACACATTCAGAAACACATGAACACACGCAGGAAGTCACGCATTTAGATATCACACTGGCACACACTAACACACACAAACTATTACAATTACACACTCATACATACACAGAATCATACATACACAAACAACCCTACACGTGCATGCATGCCACACATACACATGTCATGTATACACACACATGTGTACACACTCTTTTTAATTTTAAACTGAAAATGCTATATCTATTATTAACTACATTTAAAGTGACATATAATACTCGTAATCATGAAATGAAAAGGTTTGCGGTTAAATGAGTAGGGACTCTTTGTATTTTGTAGATGGAGTGGAAGACGATTCGATAAATCAGCAACAGAATATGCTAGACTGGTTTTAACTAAATCAATTCTAGTTTTAGGCCAATGTAATAAACCCAGTCGCTTGCTAGTGGTAGGATTGGATTGAATCAATCGGAATATGTAATTTTTAGTATTTGTATTTAAGATTTTGTAAATCAATTTGTTCTGGTTAAAAATTAAACATTTACTAAATTGAAGAAGTCTTAGATGTCCGTACAAGAGATTTTTTTCGACGTAGTTTCTATCACAGACTAAGGGTAAGGCCCGATTTTGTAGGGAATACTGTCGTTTGACTTTAGATTTGTAGCAACCATCCCACTTTGTGGAACAGTAGTGAGTATGCTTTTGGATTTGGATACGTAAAACTAAAGTGCTTAATTTGGCCAGGTTAAAAAAAAATGTGATGCTATCTGTTTGGTCATGGCGTGAACATTGGAACTCCAAGTTAAATGACTGCCAATTAAAACACCTAACTTTTTGTGTTCAATTACATTACCAATAGGTAGTTTGTCAATGAAGAGATCAAGCGGTGGCTTGTGTAAAGCTAATGTTTGTAGCTTTTGCCTAGTGGTAATTACGACGAATTTAGTTTTTATATATGTTACGTTGCAAGTTATTTTCATTGTTTCATTTTATAAGGTTGTCTATTTCTTTCTGTAAAGAAAGTTCTAACTCAATACGAATATAATAACTAGTATAAACTGTACAGTCGTCAGCAAACAGATCACATGTTACATAGAGGTGTAATAGGAAGTCATTAATATAAGTGGCAAAAAGTAGTGGACAAAATACTGAGCTACGAGGGACGCCTACATTTAACTGTGTGGTTTTTGAATAATGGTTACAGAGTGAAACTAACTGCTGTCTACTTTATTTTGCCAGCAAATTATCGTTAATTTTTAAGGTTTTTAATTTTCTAATTAAAACACTGTGATCAACCATAAGAGAGAGAGAGAGAGAGAGAGAGAGAGAGAGAGAGAGAGAGAGAGAGAGAGAGAGAGTTAGAGAGAGAGAGAGAGAGAGAGAGAGAGAGAAGGAGAGAGTTTACATGTTAAAAAAAAGAACGTATGATTGTGTGTTAGTTATGTGTGTGTGTGAAAGAAATAGAGAGAGAGAGAGAGAGACAGACAGACAGACAGACAGAGAGTGAGAGAGAGAGAGAGAGGTAGTATATTTTCCTGCTCTAATTACGAATGAACTCCAACTAAGCCAATATAAGATGTAATGCATAGTAGTCTCGAATTGTGTCCTGCCGTTAGATCAAGATGAAAAAAGGCGAGAGAGTGAGGTCGACGAATAGCGCAACTCTTTCTCACTTATATCCAGGTCCTTGCGAAGTCACTTTCAACTTTGGATGAACAGTTTTTTTTTTTTCATCGCTTGTGATGGATGAACAACAACAGCACATGTAAGGATATGTGACTGCATGAATCCAGCACAGGTACACATATGCTAGGAACAATGGTGAAAAATACAAGTTTTATTGACGATTACAGAGAGAGATATATAGATAGAGAGAGAGAGAAAGAGAGAGAGAGAGAGAGAGAGAGAGAGAGAGAGAGAGAGGGCGCATCTATGGTTATGTCAGAGTGCTTTAATGTTGATTCTTAAAAATCAGTCAGTCATGCGCGCTTAGCTTTTGCACATTTTCTTTAACAGATGTACCAAATGCTATGGTGAACCATTTAGCATTCATTTTGAGGGGCAAACCATTATGGACACTAATTTTGATAACAACGAAAACAGAAAAGCCCTATCTAAATCATCTATCGCTGCAATAACACCAAAGTGGGTTGTATGTCGACTATGCTTACATGTTTCTAAAAACTATTTCAGCACTAGGAAATATTTACTGTAAATCTTTATATCCCTAGAAATCATTTTTGAAATCACTCTGTGTTTATGTATTTACAATGGCACTGATACAATTACATCTTTACTGAAAACACTGTGGGGTCTTCAGCTAGCTTGCGAATTTTCAAATGGTTAGAGTGAGCAACTCAATGCACATAGCCTTTTTAAGGCTTTTCACAATGTTATAGCATGTGATCTTGTCGATGATAGATTATGGACTTAAAATGGTTACCATATCAAATAGTCAGCTTATTAAACTTGAACGCATACATAATAAAGCCATGCGAGTAATTCTGGGATGTACAAGAGATACCTCGGTAGTATTTTTGCAAATATACTGGCACTGCCTACTATTGCAGATATGCTCAAAGTTCTACAAGCAAAGTTATATCTCAGAGTAGCTGCAGACAAGAAGCACCCCCTGCAAGAAGCCCCGGGTAGAGCTAAAAGTAACAGACTGAAAAGAGGTGAGTCTTGGATGGCGCAAACTGAAGACACATATGGACATGTGTGGAAGCTTGATAAATTTGGGCGAGGAAAGGAGCGGGTCAAGTTGTCAGAGCATTGGACATAGAGATGGGCATGGTTCGAAGACAGTGGTGCACACGAAAATCAAGTTCTGGAACAAGATCTAGGTCCAGGAGTGGATGAACAACCAGAATCTTCAACCACAGTTTACGGTCGATTGGCGCTAAGCAGAAGATAAAAATCACTTTAGAACCACGAGACACCCTGTACAAGACGTTGATTGCACATATCGAAGTAAAATTAGACGTGTACCAGGCACTGTGTGCATTTGTTATTCTGTTGGCAATGTCAACGCCTGATTTACGCGACTTCACTAGCACATTAATGGCTACACTGACAACAAGCATGTAGTACACATTCGTGAACAAATAAGATCGATACTGGCTTCAAAATGATCGGCACAACATTCTCTTCTAAAATATACAAACCGGGTTTGTGGGACTGACGAAGATCTTGGTTTATGACAGCCAGCAGAAACTAGGTCACTTTTGAAGATTGCATTGTGTATGGGGTAATAAATAAAGTAAGTGAAGGATATTCTTTCATGCTATCAGGCGTTTTGTAGGCATATAGGGCTAGACCTATATTTTCTAGATCAATCGGCCCACGGTGGGTGATGTGGTCAACTTCACGCCGGTTGCTTATACTTCCAGGACTTTAATTGGTACTAATTTAAGGCTGGGTCGACCTGGGAGCCCTGGGCATTTCTAAAAGGAACTTTTGGGATTTGAACCGCCAACCCTTGTTTTATAAGGTGATGATCTGGCTAAATTTGAAAACTGCATTTCGTCTGGTGTGGATGGGGGAGGGGGGTGTGCGTGGGGGGGAGGGGGTGATATGGGACGAATGCAGTTTGAAAACAAAATAGAGGGGAGGGGGGGGGGGTGGTGACTTTTAAAACAGCCGAAGAATGCCCAATCTAGTATATTCAATGACAGACAGGACAGATTTTGACATAAACGCAAAATCACATATGAGATTAAATGTATAGGAAATAGGGCGGGAAAAACAAGAAGAAACAAAGTCACCAATAAACTGTGAACAATGGTTGGTACATTAGAGGTTAACAATTTCATAGAACATTAAAGAATCAAATGATTTTGTTACCTGGTCAAAATGTAACAAAATCAGCCTGCAGCTAGAGCGTCCCAAATGACAGGCATGAAAACAGGAGGCCAGTCAAGATAAATATAGGTGGATGGAGTAATAGAGACACCAAACAGGACATGAACTAATGTTGGAGCTGTGAGGGTGGCGATTTGGCAAGTGATTAATCTGTAGGAACGGTGGCCCAGTATGTGTTCACACTTGGCATCGCAACACGTAAGTCATGTTTGATCTTTACTTCAGACTTCAGCATTTAATTAATTATATCTCTGTAACATCAAAGAACTCACAGGCTCTAGACTGGATTCTATCCATGATATAGAAGTGATTGCACACTATAGAACGGAACTGAGAAACGGACTGCGAGCCCTAAGTGACATGTAAGGCACAATAGCAGAGGGAGTGAGGAGTGGCTGGCCAAACGGTTAGAAGGCTGGGCTCTTAAGCGAGAGATTTGGGTTCGAACCATCGGTAAGGATGGGGAGTTTTTCTGTCTGGGGCAAAATAAAACCCTCTTCTGCACTGTCGTGGCGAAAGCTCTTGCCATGAGGCCTTAAATCTTCAGGCTCAAAGACCCCCTACCTACACAGTTACTGGCAGTTGGTTGAGTGAATAAATTATCTATAAGCATGATGTACTGCTAGGGAAAAAAAAGGGGGGGGGGGTAGTGTCGCCAAACTGCTAGGTTTTTGTTGAAGCGTCTTTGACCTACTTTTATTTAATGCATTTTATGTGTTAATATTATCAAGATTCCGTGTCTATTAGTGCGCTGTCAGTAAACCGCTAACACATTGTAAGAACCATACACAGATACCGTGTAGTGTGAGAGGAAATTGCCAGAACCAGCTATGGCGTTTCATCACGAGTGGGCCTGGTACAACATCAACTACCCAAACCCGGACGGAGCAGTTTGTCGGCTGAAGATGGACGACAAAGAATGGAAACGGATTACCAGATGGAGGGACTTAGACTGGTTCAAGAACGGGGGTCTAGAGTCAGGGACCATCCTGTTCAACAATAGGAACTGTGTCCGCCCACCACCGGATGCCAACAGTGGTACGCCTCATCTGGTAAGTTGACAACTAGAGGAGGCGGGGGAGGGAGCGGGATAGAGGCAGAAGGGAGAGATAAAGACACACACACACACACACACACACACACACACACACACACACACACACACACACATGCGGAGTAAATGAATGATCTGAAATGAGAAACAGGTTGTCAACTGCACACAGATAAGCCAGTAAAACAGATGTACACGCAAAACTCAGGCCCTGGTACAAAGCCAAAGTCCAGATGGATAAACAACTAGCAATTTCTGCTGGAGCTTACAGCTGGTAAAACGGTATAGTTTGCCTGAATGTCTCATGGAAACATCCAAGATCTGGCCACTTGTCGCTAGTCCTTTCTTGTGCTTTATACACACATTCTGCTGCATTCGCCTCTACTATCACGGTAGGCATATTGTGTGTTGGTTTACAGCTAGGCCGCGAAATCTGCTTCTTTCAACATATGAATTAATCAAGTAACAGAAAGTGTATTGATCGGCCCTTATTTATTTATTCTTTCGACCTAACACATCCGATTTCAGCAAACTCCTAATTGGTCGCCTACTAGAAATGCCTGTTAGGAGACAGTGGATTTGTTCATGCCCCATCGCTTCATTTTTTTCCCCCCTAAAAAAAAAAAAAATACGTCTGTCTCTGAAATCACACCGGATATGATGTTACAGAAATATACAGCTTCTGTTGAGTTGCACGAGTGTTACTTTAATGTCATGTTAACACTGGTGATCACAGAAGAAGGCATACCTCACACTACGTCCATTGCTCTGTCCACTTATAAAAGTAAAGTACAGGTCCTTTTTCTACGCTTTCTACGCGTGTTGGGCATACAGGGCTAGGCCTATATTTTATAAACCAATCGGCACTAGGTGGGAGATGTAAATAACATCCCGCCGGCCACCTTTACTCGCCAGGACTTTGCCTGGTATCCCTTTAAGACTGGGCCAGCCTGGGAGTCAAGTACATATTTGAAAACAATTCCAGCTCTGACAGGACCCGAACCCGCGACTTTCAGATCTGCAGGCGAGTGTCCAGCCGCTACACCACAGCGGTTCCCCCTAACACTTTATACCAATTCAAAAATGCTAAAAGTTCAGTAATCCTGAATACACTAAATATAAACTGCACTCGAGAGATGTTTTCAATAACAAACTGGCAACAGTTTGGAGTTTCCAAAGAAAGTTATTTGGTTTTTGTTTTGATAACATAAGCCGCAAGCCTTGGTAATCAAATTTCTACATAGGCTTATGCTGTGATATCATACCTGGCCAAGATACTTTTCTTTTGTACTCCCTCTACCTCTCGTCCCATCCTCTTCTCTATACATACTCCAGAGTTTCTTTCTTACGACGTGCATTAAAAAAATTTCTTTCGTGTAGTCAGTTCTTTTTCTTCCCGCGAGTTAATTTCTTTCAAGTCATCTTTATATAGTTTCTCATCACTCCTACATAAAACATTAGCCCATTACACCAGGACTGGCTTTATGCAGCTCAAAAAAACTATCTTTCTTCACTGCAATAGACGGTGACAAGAACCTGAATTGACGTCAAAAAAATTGTCAAAATTGGTATAATTTTTTTACTGGTCTTTATACGACACACACATCTCTGGACCGTTTTGAAGATTCATAGGTATGTTATTTTGGTGTAAATTCTACTGTGCACAATCGGATGCTTTCCTTCCTTCCAAATAGAAAAATAATTTAAGCATGGTATTTTTTCAAGTTGTAAAAAAAACAAATCATCTCTTGATGCTGTATTCAACAAAACATGTACAACGCCTCACTGAGGTCAATATCTAACTGTCAAAGTCAACATTCGAGTGGTTCGTCAGCCATAGTTGAAACTGGAAAAACTGAAGAATATAGTACAGAACATGCTAAACATTATTCGTATATCTATAAGAAACTTTAAACGTTATTTTGAAAGGATTAAAAAAAAAACCACATTATTTCTTACCTATTTATAGTGTCCGCTTTAATCAATTCAACAGGAAGCAGAAAAGAAAAAAACGAAATATTTCCCAACTTGTTTGTTTTACTTTTTCAGGTATGCAATAGTCGACCCTAGCAGTATATTTTTTATGCAAATCAACCTAAATTATTTACTAGACAGACGTTCAAATAGAGATCAGATGTACTTCTTATACTTACCTAAATTAAATAGTGGTTTTTTTTCCTTTAGACGAAAACAAACCCTCAGGTGTTTGCTGTAATAGTACACGATCGCTCCAACTCCAGTGTGCAATATTATATATCTTTATCAATACTCAGTAGAGATTCCTCGAACAAAGCCCTCGTGACGTAGCTCGGCTGACAGCCCAACGGGTGTGAAAAGCGCTGTTGCGGCAGTATCGATCATTTCTGGGCATATCGATTTAATTGGTTATTGATCCGTTGTGTCTGTAACTCTAGAAACTGGTTGCGCCCGCGCACAAACAAGTGGTGTGTATACTGGTCTACACCTTAGCAATGGCAAATGTAAATAACCTTATCTAACAACTGCATTGCAGCTTGAATGAAACTCTCTCTCTCTCTCCGTCTCCCCCCTCTCTCTCTCTCTCTCCGTCTCTCCCCCCCTCTCAGTCTCTCTCTCTTTCTCTCTCTCTCTCTCTCAGTCTCTCTCTCAGTCTCTCTCTCAGTCTCTCTCTGTCTCTCTCTTTCTCTCTCTCTCAGTCTCTCTCTCTCTCTTTCTCTCTCGTTTTACGCCAGCGGTGCATCCTCCTTTTTTCCTGACAGGAGACTGTAACACTTGTGTACCTCAAACTTCACTGTCCAACATCAGCATTCATCGTATCGGTCTTACTCCTTGTAGACATTGTACTGTGGGCGTCAAGCTCTATCCACACTTGGTATGATTAGTTATCTATCAACAGTGTTATCGCGACTTCCTCGATACCTACGCTTTGCAAATACCAGCTGTGATTTAAAAAGCTCACAATTTCCACATGAGGCCTCATGGAGGGGCCTCAGCACATGAACTGATAAATGCTTTTTGAGATCTTAAGTTGTGGAGAGGCATGATAGCCCATGCCATTAGGCAGTAGACTTGATGATGACGAAGATGATGATGGTGACAGGGAGGCACTGGAATCAGACCGTGTTGATGATAGTATGACTAGTAAAACCAGCCTGCAGTTAGAAAGGTCCACAGCACAAAGCATACGCCGTATTGCAGAGACCATGTTTTAGCCCGACTGCCTTAACTACAACATGTGTGGCAGAAGGGAATAAAGCATTCATTTCAAAGGAATTATGCACTACAGTTCGGTCAGAAAAGTTCGCCACGGGCATTCAGGCAAGCAATCCATTGCTTATGTAAGCGTGAATGTCGTCCGCAAAAGCAAAAAAGTATTATGGTTGTTCACTGAATTAAACTGCTCACTGAACTAAGTGTGTTTTGCTTTTATTACATAGTGTTCACTTTGAATACGCCTTCGGATGTTGCTGTTTCTTTTTAATATCTCTTGAACTGGCTCAGCTGTCTCATCGGATTATTTTGACAGTGAAGGCTTTCTTAGACATCGGTTCACTTGTATTAGATTTGGCAATGACGTTTTCATTTTCTGCTGCAACAATATGCTTTTACCCTGCCGTAGAAGATGTGTAGTGAACTCACACCCTTTCTGAAACATTTGTACCTAGTCTGCCACTGTTGCCTTCGACACACCTTTATTAGCATACGCTGCCTGCAATATTTGATTCACTGTCTTCTTCTCGACAATGTTTTCCTCCTCATTCGTTCTGGTCGATTTTCGCCTTTTCTACTCTGAACCATAGCCATTACTGTTCTTGTCAACTCGTGTGAAATTTAATATGGCCGAAGGGTACTTTCTTTTTTTAGCCGACCACAAATGACGTCACAGGAGAGACCAGTATCTTTGAGGGTGGTTTCAGTATTTTCTGGGCTTTAGGGCCTTTCTTTCAAGGCTAAAGTTTTCGCGCTGTTACCTAACCCTAGCTCTAACCTTAACCCTAACCTTAACACAAACCCTAACCTTAACCCTAACCCTAACCAAAACTAGAAGCTTAGTCCACCATCCCTTGAAATTCTGGACTGTCCCGTTACCTATGGATTCCCCCTGTTTGCGGTCAACTAATAAGAAAGTACCGATCGAAGTATTGCGCATATTTCGACCATATTAAATTCATAAGACTTGACAAAAATAGTAACAAAGGCTATGGTTAGGAGTAGAATAGTTGAAAGTTGACTTACGCGGTTATAGCCCTCTTATTTTTACCGGTTGTAAACTCCAGTGGATCGTTCTAAGACGTCACATTCATTTCTCACAGACCATCTTGACTGATATACCAGTCTTGACAGGCAAACATATCTTCATTGACATACCCTGGACTGACAAACTAATCTTGAATGTTGAATGTTGAATTCAGAATCGACACCACAGCACTCGGGACACCGCCATCAGCGCCCCGTCTCCATCTTTTGCAGAAAACGAAGAGTTAGAATTCCGATAGTACCAGTAACTGTCTGATTGCATATCCCCTTGTAACTCGTCGCATTGCCATTCTTCCAAGACCGTAAAATATCTGTGCCTCGGCACCGTTCACTCGCTCCCAAACGGCCCTCAAAACATCTAGCTTGTCATACATCAGTTCACCACCAAGTGGTGCAGAAACGAATCTTGACTAACAAACCAATCTGTTGCTATATCCTCAGCTTCCTGCAGCAGGAATCCCTTCAGCCAGTCATGCTCGCCGTCACCCGTGGTTCTACTACGAGCTGTACCAGCGTATGCTAGAAGAACGAGAAGATCTGGCCAGATGTGGACTTCTTCCACCCGATCAGGTGTGCCATGTATCCCCGTGTGCTGGACCAAAACAGAACAGGGCCAGGAAAATCATGACCGCTGCACAAAGACACGATCAAGAAGTCGATCAGTGCCTCAATGCCGTACATGAGATGGAAAGAGACGGTTGGTTCGATACAGTCGATAGCAGATACTGTTAAACACTGAATGTCAACAGTTTTATACTGCTCCGACCAGTGCTCAGCGAACGACACAATTCCGCTAACAAAATGCAAGGAAGTGGTTTTCGAAATAAATACAGGCGTAAAAACTATATATGCTTTGTTTTCGTTTACGTTGACAATGATTTCAGTTAACAGATAATTTTGGGAGAGATTAAAATAATTTTTCTTTTGTAACAAACATATCAAAGTACGAAAACAATATCTCAGTTGAACAGATGATTTTTGTATTGATAAAGTTGCCCGTGTTGTTTCAAGGGCGAAAATTTGAGGGGGAAAAAAAAAAAAAAAAACAACCCCCCCCCCCCCCTTACATCCCAAAACCGTTTCTTTTCCGACAAGCATGTCGTAACAGGCGATTAAACAGAACTATTTACTTTGAAGTCGGAGTGAATCTGCCTGGTAGGCGAAGAACCAATAGTCCGCATACACATAAACCAGATAAATATAAGTAATATGTACACAAAAATTCTTTCTGGAACAGAAGGGGACAAACAACTCACAACTTTCTGCATGAGTCTATTGCTGGTGAACTTTAAGAATAAAAAGAAGAAGTAATGATAACATAAGCAAATACGAGCTGATATATTTTTCAAAAAATGTTAAATTGCCTCTGAACAATCTGCGATCTGCAACTGCATGTATCAGCTCGTATGCTGACACCCCTTCATGCCATGACAAAAGACTGTCAAGAATCTTCTTACGCTGTCTTCCTCTGTCTCTCTTTCCAGAAATCTTTCCAGGGGTCCCAACATTTTCCATTTTCCCTCTTCGCATAACATGACCCCAAAAAAGATAACTGACTCTTTCTGATGTTTGTGATAATTTGTCTTCGAGCGATCGCTTCTTTCAAAATATCTGGATTGCTCTTCTTAGCTGTCCAAAGGAATTCTGAGAATTTGGTTTTTAAACATCTCCGAGGTCTCAAGATATTGTCCGGCTTGCTTATTAATCGTCCAGGTTTCACAGCCGTATGTTAAAACTTGCTCTATACAGCATGCGATAATTCTTTTCCTAAAAATATTCTTCATTTTGTTAAACACAGCTTTAGCCTGCCTATTATGTTCTTTATCTATGTGATGCATCTTCCCTCGGATGTTATCTGTTATCCATGTGCCTAGATACTTACCTGTCTGTACTTGTCCTAAAATAACGCCTTTTAACTTTCATTTTCATTTGGGCACTATGCCCTTCTTGGATATCTCTAATACTTCAATCTTTTAATTTTTAGACTGAAGTTCATTTTATCGCTTTCTACCACCACCTTATCTATCAATTCCTTTAGTTCTTTTTGACTTGTCGCTATCAAGACGGTGTCATCAGCATAAAGCAGATCGCTTATGTTTTGACCACCAACCACAATTCCTGGCATATCCGTGATTGATCTCATTATATATTCACCGTATAAGGAAAACAAATCAGGTGATAGTACGTACTATTTCAGTGAATAGTTTCTCTAAATAAACTTTTCTTTATCTGCCTTTCTATCCCCCAGTGGAGCATAGGTCGTCACCCAACTCACGCCAAGTCGTTCTATCCTCTGCTATCGCATGCAGCTCTCTGAATATGTTCGCCCCATATTTTTATTTTAAACATTACTCTCTAGCTCCCCTCTGCTTGTTTTGTGTGTGTGTGTGTGTGTGTGTGTGTGTGTGTGTGTGTGTGTGTGTGTGTGTCTTCCTTTTTTCCCCTGCCAATTCCAGTGCAAAATCATTCTTGTTATATTGTTCTCCGGTTTTTTCAACGTTTATCTTATTCAAAGCTAGCATCCTTTCTTCACTTCTTGGCCCACTGGAGCCTGTTTAGTTCTCTCCCGAAGCTCTACATTAGTGATTTTATTATACCGTTTAAATTCCTCTATTCTGCACGGGCACCAGTTAATAAATGTTTGTAGTTTCTTAATAATTGCCTTAGTCGTTCTCCATGTTTCCGATCCATACAACAGTACTGAGTTGATAATATAATTTACAATATTAGGTATAGTGTTTCTTTTAATTTCTTTTACATCCACAAATTCTATAGTGCTATGAAAGATTTTTCTGCCTTTTTGTGTTTGTATTTTAATATCTCTGTCACTTGCCCAATCTTTATCTATATTACTGCCCAAATAGGTGTACGACTCCATGTCTTGGAGTGGGTACCCTTAAGAGAAACCACATTACTATTTGCCTGATTTATTCCCATTATCTTTGTCTTTTGTTTATGGATTTTCAGACCTAGCTGTTGTGATTTTGCATCAAGCATATTTAATTAATCTTACATCTGATTCCAAGAATAGGACAGAAGAGAAATATCATCAGCGAAGTCCAAATCATCAAGCTGTTTTGTAGGGGTCCACTAAATTCTATTTCTGGTGTTAGCAGTCGCTGTCTTTATAATCCAGTCTATTGCCAGTAAAAATAGGAAGAGCGACAAAAGACATTCCTGTCGCACACTACCTGTTTCTATTTCAAATGTATCTGTTAGCTTTCCGTCAGAAGAACTCTACGTTTCTTGTCTTTGTATGTTGTCTTTGAATGTTGACTGTTCAATAAAGAATCGACATCACAGCGCTCCGTAACAGTCTTCAGCAGCAAACGAAGAGTTGCAATTCAAATGGTTTTGTATATAGCTTTTACTAAGTTAATTTTTTGTGAGATTTCATAGTGTCCCATTAATTTCCAGAGGGGTTCCCTATCAGTGCTAAATAACAGTCGAGATAAAGAACATTTCTGTGTGTTCATAACTATCGACAATATAGCCCGGCCATGAATATGCCCTTATGTCTGAACGCGGTTTTCGGGACCTCTCCACGTGTGATCCTCATCCACATGGTGACACTTTGTGTCATCGGGTGTTTATCGCTTGTGTGAAGTCCTAGTGGGGTAAAATATACTACTGCTACCACATTTCCGTCGTGTCACTCTAGTTTCACCTGCAACCCAGTTAATAAAATCATTATCTTTTCACAATGCATGTTCTAACCATTCCTGCATTTATTTTATCATATATATATATATATATATATATATATATATATATATATATATATATATATATATATATATATATATGTATATATATATATTATTTTTTCCTCCATTGACATTATAGCAACAAGTCAAAAAGAACTGCAGGAAATGATAAACATTGTGGTTGTAGAATGTGGAAGAATGGGCCTCATTTTGAATAATGGAAAGACAGAAATAATGGTCTGTGAAAAGACACTCGAATACGATAAAGAGCTGAACGTGGTCTTTGTAGATCAAGAGAAGGCATTCGACCGTGTGGACAGAGATGTGCTGTGGAGAATTCTTGACGATTACGGAGTGCAGGGTCAATTATTAGACAACATCAGAGCCCTCTATGAAAAAAGTGAAAGTGCAGTAAGAACATCTAGTGGTCTTTCTGAATGGTTCAAAGTCACAACTGGTGTCAGACAAGGATGTGTACTGTCACCATTACTTTTCATAACATACATGGATAAGATCACTGTAGAAGCAAACCCAGACGTGTATGCTATAAACGAATTACTTTTTGCTGATGATCAAAGCATACTGTATCAAAATGAATATGATCTACAGGAACATCTGACTACTCTCAACAACAGCTGTTTACAACATAATATGAAAATCAGTACAGAAAAAAACAGAAGTTATGAAGATCAGCAGAACACACAGGCCACTGAATATAAATGTTGGAAGTGCCAAAATCAAGCAAACCAAAGAGTTCAAATACTTGGGCAGTATATTTACAGAGGATGGAAGAATGGACAGAGAGATAGAAACAAGAATACAGAAAGCAAATGCTGTCACATACCAACTATCACCTCTGCTTAAACATCCAGATATAACCATGAAGACCAAAAGACAATTGATAAACACCATCTTCATTCCAACACTCTGCTACCAGTGCCAGACATGGACAATCAACAAGACCCATGAAAGAAAAATAGAAGCCTGTGAAATGAAATGTCTAAGAAAAGCAGCGAATAAGACCAGACTAGACAGGATAAAGAACATAGACATTAGAAACACTGTCAAAACTACACCATGTTTAGACTACATAGAACATCAAAGAATGAAATGGTTTGGACATCTAACCAGGATGAAAAATGACCAAATAACATCACAAATTTTCAACCAAAGAAGCTCAGGATATAAGGCAAGAGGAAGACCAAGGAAACGGTGGATTGACGGGGTCTCCGAAACCTGCCAAAAGCATGGCCTCAGAACATCAGATGCTGCCCGCCTTGCTTATGACAGGAACTTGCATCTCCCCACAACGCTTAGCGGCATACGTGGAGGGAAAAAGTAAAGTAAAGTAAGAAATAATGGTTGTGTCAAAGAAAAACAATTATTCATAACTGTGTAATAAAAGTTAATGTTGTTATTTTGTGACAAGTACAGAAATTTAAATATCTTGGCACACGGATACCATCATATGGAAGATGCATTACTGAGGTAAGAAACATAATAGGATAGGCAAAAACTTCATTTAAAAAAAATGAAGAACATCTTATGCAATATTGAAGGTTAAAAAAAGTATTCTTGCTTTCTACATACATCCAGATTTAACATACTGATGTGAGTTTTGGACAATAGGTAGGCAGGCCAAACAATTTCTCGAGGTCTCAGAGATGTGGTTTTATAGAAGAATGCTTAAAATACCTCGGATAGCCGCACAAAAATAGTAACCAAGAGGTTTTGAAAGAGGCGGGAGCCCGAAGACAACTTATCACAGACATCAGAAGGAGACAGTCATCATTTTACGGCCATGCTATGAAAAGAGAGAAAATGGAACATGATGTGACCACTGAAAAGATCTGTGGAAGGAGGGATAGAGTAAAACAACGAGAGAAGATTCTTTACAGTCTCGTTGCATGGCATAGAGGTGTGTCAGCGCACAAACTGATACATACTTCAGGAGCAGCAGTAGGGCAGCATTTGTGACTGCAGGGATTGTTGGTCATATATTGGAATATTACAAAAGACTAAATTTAAAAAAAACTTGCATGGCAATCTCTCAATTGACCCAGCTAAACATAACAAGCACAAGAAACGTTTTCGGAAGTCAAGACTGTTAGCCAGATGTTGACAACATTAATCATCAAGCGCAGAAGATGTAGACAAGAATTTATTTATTTTTTGCATCTTGACTTAACTTTTTTTCGATGTGACGGATCAAAAATAAAAATTAAAAAAATTATTTTAAAAAAAAAAAGCGAAATGCAAAGCTGCCTTACGAGTTCCAGAGGCGCTGACTAAGGTTTCAATTCTATTTAGAAAATTCAAGCACACTTGTTAAATGTTAAGGTCACAGATGTAGAGTAACTTTGCGTCTATTTAGGACCTGTGACTCTTTAATGAGCAAAAGGCGGTTTCCACGGCTGCTGACGTCTGAATTCTGGACATCGCCAGTCCCGGAAGTAGTTGACATCCATGGCAAATGGTTCTCGTTTACAAGGTGGCTGGGCACCATAGCACTCGAGAGGTTGAGTAGCAATGTATACAGGAGTGTTGGGAGGCGGTGGAGCAGGCGCATATCCTTGAAGGAGAAGAAACAAGATGTTAAACTGTTACTACAAAGAATACCGTGACATGCATGTCCTATCTCTATGAGACTGTGGATCTTATATAAGGCGATCATAACTTGTTCTGGGAGACGCCGTGGTCTAGCGGCTAGACTTTCGCCTGCGGATCGCAATGTAGTGGGTTCGGTTCCTGACGTAGGCCGGACTTTTTCACAAAATTATCCCGGCTCCCAGGTCGACCCAGCCTTGAGTGGGTACCAGGTGCAGTCCTGGGAAGTAAAGGTGACCGGGGTGATGCTGACCACCACATCACCCACCAAGTACCGTTTGGTCCATAAAATATAGGTCTAGCCCTATATACCCATTAGGCCTGATGTTCCGGCGACACAGATTAGATGTGGAGTTCATCTTAGGCTTTCGTGGTGTAGCGGCTAAACAAAGATCGTGGGTTCAGGTCCTGATTTTTTAAAAATGACTTTGGCTCCCATGTCAACCCAGCCCTGTACCGGTACAAGGTAAAGTCATGGGAAGCAAAGTCGGCTTGCGTGATGTCGATTGACATATAAAATATAGGTCTAGCCCTATATGCCCAATAAGCCTTAAGGCTTGAAAAAAGGTCCCGTACTTTCAGGTCAACTAAGCTTTAAATGGTATCAGAAAAAATAACCTCAGAAGTAAAGACGGACGGCGTAATGCTTACTGCATGATCCGTTAGGTGCCGATTGAACTACACAGACACATACACGTACACACTCTCTCTCTCAAACACACACAAACACTCTCACACACACAAACTCACACACACATGAAAATACACATTTATACCTGGGTGTTTTGGCTTGAAACCTTTAACCACGTGATGAAGGGCGTTTTTGGTAACTTCTTCCATTTTCCAATCGTGCCAGTTTAGCCCATTTAGCCCGTAACTGTCATTAGGTCCTGGCTCATCTACAGTCCAGTCAAAACACAGAGGATCACATGGCAACTCTCGTTTTCTGACGGTAGAAATAGTGATGATGATAGTAATAATAATAATAATAATAATAATAATAATAATAATAATAATAATAATAATAATAATACTTTCGTGTTAATAATAATAATAATATAAAAAATAATGCAGTTTTTCATCATCATTATGATAATGATAGCAATATATATATATATATATATATATATATATATATATATATATATATATATATATATATATATATATATATATATATATATATATATATATCTTCGTATCTCCCGCATTTCAAGCCAAGACGTCCCATCCTATGCTTTCTCTTTATGTATGTCTTTTATTTTTTACCTATGCCTACACGTTTTCATTCTTCCTCTATTTATTTCGCACGTGAGTTCTAGCATGAGGATTTCTAGTTGTACAATTATAACACGCTATTACAGTTAGGTTCTTATCAAATCGCAGCGATCTTTTTTGAGTTTTTTGGTTCATTCAAATGCATCAAATTCTCTCAGTTCATTTTTAGTTTCTGCCATACGATTTTAGTTCTTCTGTTCTGCTCAATCACTAATTAACAAATATTTTGTAGTTTATTATGGATTGTTTCATCGTCCTCGGCGTTTTTTGTTTTTGTTTGTTTGTTTTTGTTTCGTTTTTTGTTTTGTTTAAATCAACACAACAGAATATAATCTGTTAGTTTTCCAACATAAAAAACTCCGCATCTCATGTTTTTACATTCTTTAGCTAAGTTGTATTCATTTCCATACTACTTCATAATTTGTTTTGTGTGTGTGGGGGGGGGGGGGGGTGGGGGAATGAGTGAGAGAGGGGGGGGGGATGAATTTCAATAAAGTTTTATTCACAATCTACGATTCTAGAATAAACTAGCACGGTACAATTCACTGACTTGATTTATTATTATTGCTCGCAAAATGATAACCTGATTACCGCTAACAATGTTTGGTCGGAAACCTGTCATTTTATCCCTTAACAATTAAACCATTACTACAGCCGCGCGAATATACAGGAACAGTTTTATTTCTCTGACAGACGAATTCAGGTGAAAAATCTTATTTAATTTGGGAACTGTGATAAATAAAGAACAATAACAATTTCAGCTGGAAAGCAGGAATTAACCTGAAGCACAACACACATGTTAAACTGAAGCATTTTGAAAGCAGATTTAAAAATATTTTTCGGCAAGGAGATCGAATTTATTACACTGGGTTTAATCCGATATGCCTTGGTCACTAAACATAGAAAATTCCAGAGCACTGTTAAATTATCTTGTAACAACTTTTATAATTCTAAGTCCAACTTAAAGCACGCAGATAAAATAAACGTCTGCCATTTCTGAGTATTGATCCCAGACCACAGTATAAGCAGGTAAATAAGTTTACAAGTATACCATCATGGTCGATGGAGCATTAGGACATATACATGACCACGGCCAGCTCCAGATTATAAGGCATTACAGCTCAAACGGGAATTCCCGTTCTTGTGGAAGAATTGAGTCCCTCTGCGTCCACAGTTTTTATGGAGGAGATGAATACACAAATTAAACTACAGTTTCATTAATTTTCGACACATTTTTTTAGAACTATACGTCATTTTTAAGGTAAATAACTGTGCCATTTAAATATAACAATAAAGGCTCTTACAGACAAACAAAAATTCTTTTGCTACAGTCATCATGAACATAAAAATCAATAACGTTTAGATGTAAAATAAAGGTTGTTCCAGCAAAAGTGAAGAAATATCAGTGCTAACTCTTTGATTCTGAGAGGGTATTGTTGCATCAGAGGAACGGGAAGGGGGGGGGGGGGGAGGGGTGACATTTGTACTTTATCAAATTTAGCGCATACAAATACTGCTGTGAAACATACACATGTCATACATGAACATAAATATAAATGATTGATGGTTATTATTATTATTAGTAGACTACTAAAACATATAATTATACTGTTATTTAATAATTAGTAAACAAACACAATCAGTATGAAATTGATATGTGCAATACTTTGTTTTAACCCATAGTAGTTTTCTTTTAGCACTACTAACTATGTATCCACAAGGTACAAACAGCACAAACAAATTGTCCAGTTTCATCTTGTTGGACGAAATCAATTCCTTATCATTGCAAATTTTTTAGTAACAAATATGCATAGGAAGTGGATGAACAACCAGAAGTTTCCACAAGAGTTTACAGCCAGTGTTCGTGAAGCAAAGCAAAAGCCAGTTTACAAAAATTAACACAGACCGTACAACTGCAAATACGCAAAAGAAGTCGATGAGCAGCCAGAAGTTTCCGCAAGAGTTTACAGCCAGTGTTCGCGAAGCATAAGTCAAATGGTTAAGGTTTAATATTATTAGTGTACTGCTACAACATATAATTTTACTGTTAGTCAACAATAAGTAAAGAGACAAAGAGTTACTTGCTGTGAGAGGTTACTTAGTAAATTAAATATTATTTTCATCCACTTACCTAGAGCTCCGAAATTTCTTGACACAATTTATCCACAGTGTGGTTGCACCATTTATGCACAGTCAAAATAAAAGCAATAGTTTTCTTCAAACACAAGATAGTTTGCTCCTGACAACTGTCGATATTCTCCAGATATGGCTTCTAAATTAACTGTTTGTATTATCCCTAAAAGTAAGATTTCTACATTTAAAGCAGAAAAGTAATAAACAGCCAGTTCCCAAAAATCCGAACTACTGACTAGAAACAGTGACACTGACACACACACCACAACACGACTGTCTCCCGTGAATTACAATTAAAATTACTGTAATCTAACAGCTTGTATGTCCACTTTACAATATCCGCTTGTCGATTTGTAATACGAATACAATCAGAACACAGAAGTTTGTAAGCATATTATAATGTCACAAAATGCAACATGGAAACGCATGCAGTAACCTATTTTTGAGGGGACTCAGCCACAATGTGCCGTGATTCAGTTGTCAGGACCAATATACAGCCGGACGTGTACATGACCTAACTTTTCTTTTCGTGACAGTGGATAAGTTGGATGGGAAACAGAGAGAGAGAGAGAGAGAGAGAGAGAGAGAGAGAGAGAGAGAGAGAGAGAGAGAGAGAGAGAGAGAGAGAGAGAGAGAGACAGAGAGAGACAGAGAGAGAGAAAGAGAGAGAGAGAGAACGAACGAACGAACGAACGAACTTTATTTTCAAAGGGTTACAAATTAGGCACGCAGGCCTGTCTTACATTCGGCCCTTCCAAACTTCCATCTTTCACAAAGCAGTTGTATTTCATCAATTAAGCATGTTATATTCATGTAATAATATGCATATTTTATATATGAAAAAGAGCAAGAGAGGGAGTGACCGAGAGAGAAGATGCTGGACAGTTTGACAATATGGCATGGACGATCAGCTGTGTCATAACTGACTGAAAGTACAGGACATAGAAAATACTGGAAAGATATGACTATAAGAAAATCTTTTCTTGATATTACATTACGTTTCCATACCTTTGCAAATCAGTCTTTTTTAAACACATTGTGTGAAAAAAATATAATCTTCGAACTGAACATGACAAACACATTAAGGGATTTAAGGTTGACGAATGTGCACCTAAACAGTAGTATTAATTCGATATCAGAAATAACGGGAACAGATTGTTGTGAAAATTTACGTACGGTTTGCACGGCTCCTGACACGACATGGCTGGAATGGTGTAGTTACAACACGGCTTAATGCACATCTGTGGCGGTCTTAGAACTCTGGTTTCTATGGCAGCTGGCATGTAGCAGTCCCAACAATCATCGATGGTCTTCGGACATCCGCAGAAGGGATTCTTTGTGGACGCTGGTGGCAGGGCTTGAGGACACACTGGAATGCGGGTTAGATCTGTAGGGTGTCCCTGGAAGGGTTTCTCGCACTGGACATGTCTTAGCTGGTCATCCAGACGGCTTCGACAGAAAAGGTTTGGTTGGAGCATGGTATTAACTGCCCGTGATGTTTCTTAAAGTGGTTTAATACACCGGAGAATATTTTGTTTTTATTAAGATAATTCGGCAGCTTTATTTCAGCAGTAGGTGGATTCTTGTGATTGGAAGTGATTGAAGATAAATTTTCAGACCATTACATTTTCTTTGTTGACTTATCCTGCATCTTGAAAAAGAAATAATTTGTGTGACTAATACTGGAAACATAAAACTGAGGAAGATTGTGTTGTAAATGCGTTTTATGCATTATGGACAGTTACGCTAAGTTTTTTTTTAAAGGCAGATAGCTTAGATTAGGCAGGCATTATAACATTATATTTAAAGCAAACAAACAAACGAACAACTCACAGCTATAAGACAAACATCTAGTGTTTGAACGAGTCGTAGGGACTCTACAAGTCTCATTTATAAAATATAGGTTTTGAACATGACATTTATAAATAGGTTTGTAGAACTGTATGTTTTTAAAATGTCCTTTCATGATTTTAAAGATCGTCTTCTCTCTTGTGCTTCTAACTTACATTCTTTCCTTTCCCATTTCTCCCTTCCCCACCTCCTTTTCCCCCCGTTGATGTTTCTTCTGTTCTTCCACTTTTATTAATGGAGCTGAGGGAAGAGAACAAAAGAGGGACAATTTGGCTCTCCTAGCAGATTTGGCCGGCAAGCTGGACTGCTTCGGCCGGCTTAGTGGGGCTAAGTGGGAGTTATGTCCCTTGGCCGCACTCACAACAACGAGCGGAAAAGGTCACGAATCAAATGACATACTTACCTATCATCATCCGGGTGCGTGTAGGGTTGCGTACTGTTGCGTCTAGGGTTACCTATCATCCTACGGTTGCGTGTAGGGCTGCGTAGAGTGTCTATCAACGTCCTACGGTTGCGTGTAGGGCTGCTTATTGCGTGTTGGTTGGTTGTTTGCGTAAGATGAGGGGTAGGGTTAGGGTTTAGGGTTAAGGTTTAGCGTTAGGGTTAGGGTTAAGGGTTAGGGTTTAGGGTTAGGGTTTAGGGTTAGGGTTAGGGTTAGGGTTAGGGGCTAGGGTTTAGGGTTAGGGTTAGGGTTAGGGTTTAGGGTTAGGGCTTAGGGTTAGGGTTTAGGGTTAGGGTTAGGGTTTAGGGTTAGGGTTAGTGGTTAGAGGTATGGTTAGATGTGAAGATTTTCACGTAGGAGGTCGAAATAGTGGCTGACAATCTGATGCTTGTGGGAGTGGCGCCACTGAAACTCTGCCACATATGACGCCAATAGCGGGCGGCTGGTGCCCAGTCTCTGGCGAATTATCCGTGTTAGTAGCATCCACCATCCGTCGACTGTTTGCGCGTGCATGTGACTGTGCGCGATTATAGGTAACTACGGCGTCATATTTGGCAGAGTTTCAGTTGCGCCACTCCCATAAACGTCAGATTGTCGGCCACTATTTCGACCTCCTACGTGAAAATTGTCAAATCGAACCATACCCCTAACCCCTAACCCTAAACCCTAACCCTAAACCCTAAACCCTAAACCCTAACCCTAACCCCTAACCCTAAACCCTAACCTTAACCCCTAAACCCTAAACCCTAACCCTAACCCTAAACCCTAACCCTAGCCCTAAACCCTAACCCTAACCCCTAACCCTACCCCTCATCTTACGCAAACAAAAAACCTACACGCAATAAGCAGCCCTACACGCAACCGTAGGACGATAATAGACACCCTACGCAACCCTACACGCACCCGGATGATGATAGGTAAGTATGTCATTTGATTCGTGACTTTTTCCGCGACTTGTATTGAGTTGTTTTGAGTTTGGCGGAGGGACATAACTCCCACTAAGCCCCACTAAGCCGGTCGAAGCAGTCCAGCATGCCGGCCAAATCTGCTAGGAGAGCCGACAATTTAAATACTATTAAAGACTGAATTCAATTTGGGAGTACGGCGATGTTTACGAAATTCAAATATTTTAGATATTTTAGCTACCCGAAATGCTGCTATTTGTAGTCACATATAAAATATTTTCTTATATTACCATCTGTAACTATAGGCGAAGTTTTGGATCAGATCAGATTTTATTTGATGTCTTTATATTCTGTACCACGGATGCATATTTTCATTCAATTAAGGTGCTCAATTGGACGCATCAAAATATCAACATGCACACAAACAAATCAGCTGATGCATGTGCCATTCATACCAACTGTGTGCTTTCAGTTGAGTTGAGGTGAATTGAGTTGTCAAGAATTGACATCACAGCACTCAGGGCATTCCTATGCACGTTCCGTCCTCATTTTCAGCAGCCAGCGCAGAGTTCCAATACTGATAGTACCGGTCACAATCTGGTTAAAAGTCCATCTTGCCTTTCATCTGAGTGTAGTGAGCTGGCCAGACCCTCTGGTTACACCCAGGTGCCTCATTCTCTCCAGGCCATAATAATCTTGTTTTTCTACTGATTCCGTTGCTTGTTCCCAAAGGGCCTTGACCACATCTGCCTTGTCATGTATCAATTCACCACCCAGTGGTGAGGATCCAGTCAATGTGTCTACCTGTTCATTACCCACCACGCCGGCATAGCTGAGGAAAAGATCCACAGTATGCTCACACCTGCGACTTTTCCAGTGAAGCTAGCCAATATGCTTGAAGCATCACTGTCCTCACCTTTTTCAGCATGCTTTCAATGCCAGATGCAGACAGTTGTCGATAAATGTAGTCGCAAAATTACAACATGTGAGATCTGATGTGAAGGGAATGCGGTTGGAAAACGAAAAAGAGACCGTTACCAATGAGGAACTAAGTACACTAGTAGACATAGTATAGGGGAATGATTTCATGGAACATCAAACAATCAAATGGTTTAGCAATCTAGTCAGAATAAACAAAATCAACTACCAGCTGAAGCGTGCGACATGAGAAGAGTAGGCCACATAACGAGAAGCTGACCACGAAAGATATGAGTGGATGAAGTAAAAGAGACACTACAGAACACAGTATGACATTGAAATAATCTCCGCAACTATGAAAAGTCAGGAGATCGCACATAACTCATCTCTGTGAATCTTTAGGGCATGACAGTAGGACAAAAGAAGAAGGAGTTTAGTGAGACAAGCAAAAACGAGCACTAAAGTCCGATCTATTTATACGGATAACGTATGCACCTTTCAACCAAGCTGAATGAAACCGTTACATTTAGACATAAATCAGTTAGTCTAAGAGAAGATTTCACCAATAGGGACAAACACTCACTGATATGAGATATAATTAAAGACTAGAAAACGCGACAGATTACATAAATATTTAGAACCAAAAGCTGCCACAGTCAAATAAGAACTAGCCTGCATAGAAGCCAGATCCCGGAGACCCAGACACCATGAGCACCTACCTCCCCTACCCACTTTTCACCTCAATTTTAGCGTTTCTCTCCTCGGTAATTCTCATGATAAATTTTACGAAGGAGTCTAAACTGTTCCCTGGCCATGCATAGGCGTTCTTTTTTTTTAGATATTTGTTTATTAATCTCATATTATTTCTAGTAAAGAAAATTATTTTTTGTATTTGCCTTATTTCTAACTGCGCACTTCAAACAGGGCATAGCTGCCTTGAGCTCCACCCATAGAATATTATAAGGCCAGAGATCACCCCGCATATTTCTTGGTGACGGCGCGCCAGCAGATAAGTACTTGGAAGATAAGTCAACTATGATGTTGGGGAAAAAAACTGAACTGACTGAACTCGACCTGACATTTTAGGCAATTTTGCTCGTCTCTCAGTTGAGCTTTATAGTCAGAGAGTGTCGGGTTAAATTATTTCTGTACTTTTCATGTTTCCCTGCCCATCTACACCCTTTCTCAGTCTGATTTAGGTCAGAGGGGTGTCACGTTGTACTGCTTTTTTCGAAAAGAGTCTGTCGTTTGACTTAGGTTGAGGCTGTGGGTTAAAAAAAAAAAGGGGGAGGGAGGGGGGTAGTTTGCGTTAGGGTCAGTTCTACATGTTTTAGAGTCGCTGAAAGTTGTGTCGTTGTGTAGCATAAAACATGCGAAATCGGCGCTGATGTAATTGGAGGGAACGTGACATCCATCCGACGTAGAGGAGTCTAAGAAAGTTTGAATTAAAGGTCATGTAGTGTGCAGATGGGCCTGGAAACGTGAACAGGACCATTATTTCATGGCCAATCAAGTGGTCTGGATAGCTTACAGCAAATGACATCACACACCGACAGCGGACTACATATTATTTCGTAACCGTTTTGCATTGCTCCAGCATAACTGTGCTATATAGTTATAGGGTTTGAACGGGGTTTCCAGAGTTTGAACCTGACTGATTCTTCTCTTGAGTTGTTCACATCCTGCAGATCGCAATCTTGGAGGAGAAGGAGAAAAAAAAATATCGTCCCTGCCTGGCCCAGGCGACAGATAGCTTTGTAACTGTCGTGGGCCCTAATATAATTTTACGGTTGAACAGGGATTACCAGGATTTCTTAATGTAGGATTCTCGTTAATGATGTGTTAATCTCACGAAACGCAATCTAGGATAGGACCAACTGTAAAGCAAGCTGCTATACAACTAACATTTGTCTGATAAATAAATTGCTATGAAACTCGGTTTATTTGGGTTTTTTAAATTATTAATCATCTTCTAAATTTACTGTCTTGAGCTTCACTGGGTTTTCTGGACTTGTTTGCTTATCTGCTTTTCCAGTTTCTAAACTAAACTATGATCACTGGCGAGTTTTTATGGTTGTCGTTTTAAAGATCACATGTATTGCAATTTGAAAATTTTAGAAGTGCCCCAGTTTACTAACTTTGTAGCAGGGTAGAAATTCTAGTAATGTGTTTATCAGTGTAACTAGGTAAGTTAATTGCGAATCCTTTACAGGACGTTGCATAACCAACCCCAACAGCTCCTGGCTGTTGTGTGGATTTTCTAGGCAAATTAACGTCTAATAGTTTGCCATTGCTTTCTAGACAGTCGGCTTTCTTGATACCACTTTCAAAACCAACGCAAGGCGCATGGCCCGCAATTAGTGTAACTGGTGATAACAAAAAAACTGTTTCTTTGGTAGCGTTTTGGATTTTTTAAATATAGCCTTGGTGTCATGCATTCTTTCTGCTCTTTTATGATAACCTGCAGAGTTTCTATTCAAATGCGCGGAAAAAAAAAAATTTTTTTTTTAAACTAACTTTTGAAACACAATCACACACATACACACACACACATTCAGCGCAGACTGAAATGGCTTGGGCGTGTAGAGAAGTTGAGATGACAGAGAAGCAAGCAATGTGATCACGGGACAGCAGAACCAGCATAGACTACGACGGATACAAATATGATGATAAAGAAATAATAATATTTAATCAAACATACGGTCCCTTCACATAGATGAATTAAAAAGGTAGTTTTTGTTTAATAAAACAAAATTGAAAAAGGGGCTTGGGGGGGGGGGGGGTGATATCTGCACCAAAGAGACTGGCGATTAATTTTTGGTGGATACCTTTGTTTCACCAGAGTGAAAAAGAATTATAGATAATTACGCAATAAAACTCATGTAGAACACATGTTTCGAAAACGACTGGTGGTACTGAGAAAGAAAAAGATGTGGACAGACACGATGACAACATCACACAACAAATAAAGATACCACAAGACCGTCATTTGCTCCCTTCAAACATCAGCAAACGCAGCATATCATTGCGGTTCTGCAAAATATGTGTTGACCTAAACATTTCTGACAATTTCGCTCCTTGTGAACTGGGAGCCATCACCGAAGGGAAAAAGATAAGTAAATATTTAATTAGTTAGTCGACAGATTATCCTCATTGCACATGTAACCATTCTGTCCACAAGTTCTCGGGTCCCCTCCTCAGTAAATCCCGCAGCGTTTAGCATCTAACGACACTAGTCCTGTGCTGGTTTCTTATTAATGATTAAGTAATTAGACAATCATTTAAATTTATAAAAGAATTTTAAAAGCATGCCAAGAATTGAAGAAATGCCTATGTTAAGATTAAACCACATTTATTTTAGTTCCCACATCAAGACAAATGTCAGCTCATTCACTCAAGTTTGTCCAGTGTAACTGAAGTCTTCAGTTGAACAGTCGAGATTGAAGCTAACAATGAAATCACTTAAGATAACATGCACATAGTTATCGCATGAGACAGAAAAGGTTGCCACATCGCCAGCATTCATGCAACCTAACCATGGTGTCCGTGTCCTCCACCGTGACCGTGCCCTCCACCGTGACCGTGTCCTCCTCCATGTCCACCGTGTCCCCCGCCATGTCCTCCACCGTGACCACCTCCATGACCGCCATGTCCTCCACCGTGACCACCTCCATGACCGCCATGTCCTCCACCGTGACCACCTCCATGACCGCCATGTCCCCCACCGTGACCGTGTCCTCCACCGTGGCCATGTCCTCCACCATGACCTCCTCCGTGACCACCTCCATGACCGCCATGTCCTCCTCCGTGACCACCTCCATGACCGCCATGTCCCCCACCGTGACCGTGTCCTCCACCGTGGCCATGTCCTCCACCATGACCGCCATGTCCTCCACCATGTCCTCCACCATGACCGCCGTGTCCATGACTCATGACACTAGCAGCCAGCAGACCTAGGAAATAAAAACAATGAGAAACATCAGTAAACAAACAAATCTAAAAGGCAATCAATATTCTCAAACTGCATCACAGATGTTTCAAATAAATGAACGTCAGATAGCGAAAGATTGTAAAGCGATAGACTGTCACAAAAACTAATAGGATGGGTCGACAGTCTCTGGGTTACAAAAATGCACTGAATATACCAATGTTGAATGTTGAATTAGGAAGATAAATTACAGCACACCCCCATAAGCACTCCGTCCCTATCTTCAGCAGCAAGCGAAAAGTTAAACTTCCGATGGTACCAGTAACTGTCTGATTGTATATCCGTCTCGCCTTTCCTCTTGAGTCTCCAGCTTCGGTCAGATCCCCTAGTAACTCCTCGCAGTGCCATTCTCCTCAGACCGTAATGATCTATCTGTAAATACCAAAATATGTTTCTGCCTTCTACCCATCCCCTTTTTAACTTCACTGACTATCTTACTTCTCCTTGTGTTTTAAGGTCTGCCATTATTTCTGTACCCCTGTGGGTTCCATTGCAAAGACATTCAACAAACATACCCTACCATAAATAATTCACCTCCTTATTTGTAAGAGTTTACAATGCCATGGCACAACACTAATATTTAATAAAAAATCCACATCACAGCACTCATTACACGCCGTCCCCATCTTCAGCAGCAAGCGCAGAGTTTCAATTCAAATGCTACTAAAAGCAGTCTGATTGTATATCCGTCTCACCTTTCCCCTGGGTGCTGATCGTCGACCAGATCCTCTGGCCACTTCTCGCAGTATCATTCATTCAGACCATGATGATCCATCGGTGTTTCCACACTGGGTCCTTACAACATCTCACATGCCACAGATCAATTCACCATCAAGTTGCGCAGAACCACCCATTATATCTATGTGTTCATTTTAGCATACACCGGCATATCTTTGGGAAAATATCCTAAGGATGCTCAATTCAGAGAACCTATGAAGCAATGCTTGCCATTCTTTACGGAGCATATTTGTCTCCCTTTTTCTTAACATACTCGTTCACATATGTTGAATTTCAGAAAGTGAAAAATTACCGTAACAACACTTAACAAAGGGCGTTTGATCATAGAATACTAAGAGGGGGAAAAATCGCTCGAAAATACAACCGAAGTCGATGATTACATAAAAAAATGACATATCAGTTACATAATTAAATTAGTTGAAAGAAACATTAGCCTCTGAAAAATTACGAGAATGATTATAAAATAATAATGAAGTACGCTGCATTAATGGACATCTTAGTTAATCTCAGGGATAGAAAAGTTAAATAACTATATTGCCTTATAGCTAACCAGGGTTTTGTCAAATTATGTTAGGCAATGAGGCTGAAAAGCAAGCAGACATGTAGGCAGATAAGTTGGTAGGTAGTTGGGAACATAAGTAGTCATGTAACCATGCAAGAAGGATTGTAGTTAGGTGTTTAAGTAGACATTGAGATAAGTAAGAAGACAGGTAGACACGTAAATAGTCAAGTATACAGGTAAGTAGTTAGCTAGGTAGATTCGGTGGGCATTCAGGCGGTAGGTTGGTGGGTGGGTTGACAGACAAATAAGCGGATAGATGGGCAATATATTATGTAAGTAAGCAGATATATAAACTAGCAGCTAAGTAGGTAAGTAAGTAGATAGGTAGTAGGTTAGTTGCGTATCATTTACAGGACGTTGCAGAACCAACCCCATCCACCCCTGGCTTTGTGTGGTTTCACTAGGCAAATTTACGTTTAGTAGTTTGCCATTGCTTTCTGTACGGTCGGCTCCCTGATACCATTGTCGAAACCAAGGCAAGGCGCATGGCCCGCAGCTCGGATCAAACCCGGTACCCCGGCATTACGAAGCGCTCGCATCGACTTAGCCACAGAGCCGACAGATAGGTAGTACAGCGATGAATATTGGAGGCTGACTGCAAACGAGAAACCTTGAAGCAAGAAAGAAATACCAATAAGCAGTCACACTGGCGGTAAGACACAACATTGATCTCTCTACGAAAACATGGGTACCGCTATAACGTAGTGGCTAGGCTCTCGCCTGCTGGTGTGGAAGTCATTGCTTCGAATCCTCATCTAGCATAATTTTTGTTACGCTTCAAAACGTGACCTTGACTGCAAGATCGAAAAAGCCTAAAATATGCATTTAAAAAAAAAAGTCACGGGTAGTAAAAGCTGACGGCGTAACGTTAACCACATCATCCAGTCGTGTGGTCTAAAAAAAATGTGAGGCTAGCACCGTGTACCCTATGCGCTATTTATATAAGCATTTTTCTTAACTAAATACGAAAGTTTGATTGTACCAGAAATTTACTCTATGGAATGGACAAAGCACTCTAGCATTTCAGGTCGAACAGGCTTTTTAACTATGGAAGAACAATTCTCAAAGGTTAAACGGAGTTGACTTGGAAGGAGGTCAGCTTTCGTTTTTAATTTTAATTTGTATATGTGACACTGCAAAAAAAAAAAAAAAAAAAAAACGCGCTTCTCGTACATGTTCTTTTATACAGTTCACGGAATAAGTACAAGAAATACGAACTATTGTAGCTCAATACAAGACTATACAATGTATTCTGTAGACATATTTTTGTACAGAATTTCAAATTTTGAATAATGTAAGGAATCGATTTCACTGCACAATCACTAGCGTCATTTGGTTCGATTACTCTTCATGGAACAGCAAGCCATCTGTCGAGAAAAAAAAAATTATCCAATCCATTGATCGAGGGATGATCTCGACGCATGTCAGACAACAATGTTTTACCGCTGGAACCAATGTGGTTGTTTGAAAACGAGCCTACGACTTTCAGAGATTCGAAGGAAGCAGGTTGACATCTTCGCTAAACAGACCCTTTGTCCCCCCGCCAAAATTCCTAAGTAGCTAAAGATATATTTACCAGTTTATACAAAAAGAAAAACCAAAATAAAGACTGAAGCAATGAAGCCAGCCAACTAACTGAATACTCACAAAGGCAGATCGCAACAATGCACGCAGCCCTCATTGTGCTGTGATTATAGTATTTCCTGGGACTTTCTGAGGTACAGCCCGCCAGTGGTTGGGGAGATGGAAGTACCACTGCATGGATCTGCTGCTTTATATAGAAGTTTCAGTAGCTGTATTTTGCAGTGTCATCATACAGCAACAATCAAAATACTTTGTGGAAACAATCCAAATTAAACTTCTAGAAATGTTAACGTGACTAAAGGTCATCTTAGTATTAGAAACGGTTTACTAACAGTGCATTCGTTACTTTCGCGGTGAATGAGAACTGTAATCTTCAACATAAGTCAGTCCGACGCCTGACGAATTCCTGTGTTTAATATTTACATAGAGACCGTGGTAAATGAAGAATATTATATGCAATCTTTCTTTGTCATTTGAAAAGAGAACAAGAAGTCTCAAAAGCTGTATAAATCATATCCTGATATACGGATGTGAATCATGGAAACTTAACCGATTAGAGATAGTTTTATAGAAGCGGCGAAGATGTGTTTTTAGCGACGAATACAGTTGTCAGAACATCCTGGACAGATAAAATAGTAGTGAAGATGTCCTGAGAGAAACTGCCTCACAAAGAGAACTGATTCCCCACATCCGAAAGAGAAAATGCACATTATGTTGTCATGTTATTAGAGAACCAGAGGGAAAAAGAGCCAGAAGGAGACTGAGACAGGAGATACTAGACAGTTTGAAGTCACGGCACTGAAGATCATGTGTGTCGGAGTTGACTCAATGTACATCAAACAGTCGGTTATAGGTATACATGTCTCTAATGTGGCATATGTTAGTTCCCTAGTCTACTAACTTGTTGATCAGAGGTTCCGTTCTGAATAAAACAGGGTGCTTTGTATCTTAGTAAATAATTAAAGGACTTAGTTAACGTCATATTCATATCGCTTATATGATTCTAAATTATACTTTTAGAGACTAATCGACACTATATTAGTCTATAAAAGCAACTGAAATATGACGGATTTCAGGGTTTGAGATTTAACCACAGGTGACCGACCTGACCCACGCTTTCAAAAGACTCCCAGAACATTACTGGGCACCCCTTTTGTGCCGTCTTGACCTTGGAGCCCTAAGTCAATTATACATTTTCGCCTTGATGTGGACTTGAACACAAGACTGTCAAACTGGATCTCAAGAGTCTAGCCACTGTGACATTGCATCTTTCTCTGTACATTTTGTGTCAACCCTTTCACCTCAGAGCAGTAGTGGTAAAGAGACTTACGTGCTTGCCACCAAGACAAAAAGTGGGAAGAATCAACAAATCATATCCTAACACAGTGTTGATTATGAGACTCCTATTCCATCTTTATCGTCTTAGTCGTTACTAGCCCGTGTGGTAAATTGCTGCAGATATCACCCACTTCCATTAATTTTTGACTGGCCTGCTCTTTTCCCTGGGGGACTCTAAGTGTTTGCAGGGCTGCCTCCATCTCTCGACTTTCTTTCAACTTACTTCTTGGTCTCCTCGTGACCTACATTCAACTGTTCTGTACAATTTGTACGCAATTAATAATTCTACACTAGAAATTTATAGTAATAAAAAAGAAACCTTACCCGTGCCTTAATTCTATGAGTGCTAGTCAATAAATTGTCTCTTAGTTAATTATATTTATATTTCAACGGCTCCAAGGGTTTCACCCTCAGTTTGTTTATCTTTCAAGGGGCAGTATGTATATGTTTCTCCCATCCCCTTCTCCCGTCTCAAAGAAACAAATATTGCACTTGATGACAGCACATGTATGGTCCAATTATGTTATTTTTTGTTGTTGTTGTTAAGTATATGATAGTCCGTAAAAGCAATGAATCTCACACAGTAAGAATATTGTACAAAGATATAGGACAAGGAAATAAGATAATAAAGATAAGATCAATTATTTGGAAATGAATGGCATAAGACAAGGTTAGATATGGTAACCTAATACATTGTGAGATAAAATAAAATGGGATCAGAACACCTTAGATGAGACATGACTAAATAGGTGTGATAATATAATTAGATAGGAACAATTATGATAATGCGTTATATGAAAACACACTATGATAGCACAGGAGACAGTTCATACTTATAGTTATGACTAATATGAATAAGATAAGATACAATAATATGGAACGTCGTAATATATCCAGAGAAGTAAATAAAAAGATCGTTTTTATTTTTTTCCTTTAATGTAAGTTAAACCCTTAGTGTCATTTTCTTCTTTCATTTTTGATCACCATCATCATCCTCCTCATCATCATCATCCTCATTATCATGTTTTAGCCCTCCTTCTCCTTCTTCTCCCTCTTTTCTTCTTCTTCTTCTTCTGCTGCTGCTTCTTCTACTTCTTGTTTTTCTTCTTCTTCTCCTTCTTCTTCTTCTCTTCTTCTTCTTCTTCTTCGTTTCCTCCTCCTCCTCATCATCATCATCTTTCTTGTCATCCCTTTGCGTCTTACGCATTTTGTTGCCTAAAACCAGAAACACCTTATAACATGGACATCTGTTTTAAATTTGAAAGGCAACTTTTCTACAGGGTGTAGTAAGCAATTAATCTCATACCGAACCTCCCTAGTCGCTCTTTACGACATGCATAGAAAGTTACAATTTTAAAAATATATATAAATATGTGTGGGAGTGTGTGTATGTTTGTGTGTGTGTGTGTATATACGGGGAACACAGGGGGTGTCTGTACAGTCCTTGTAACATCCATGACGGAGTAGAGCGTCATCTCATCACCATTTATCTCCCCCTGGAATGTCAATTCATTCTTGCCCAGCAGAGGCCCTAAACAGTGAACGGTAGTGCAAGCAAAGGTCCCCGAGTACGATTTACAATGAACTTTAAGCCTAAGCTTTTCAACAATGCTCTTTTCTCAGTTGTAAATAGATCTGTTTGAAAACGTACTGTTTCTATTTTTGGTATAGTTTTCATCTTCGTACCTTTAAATGTATAATAGTGCCGAGAAACGATTACAGCGTTAGTACAACAGTTAAGTATTTTCTAATACCAGTTCCCACACAATCAACCCGTTTTTCGATTTTCACATACTTGAGTAAAAATATTCCAGAAATGAGCTTGTGAATGATGTGTTATTTGAAACATTTAGGTCGAGTGTTGTATAAAAACTTGAGATGTGTGACCAGCTGTACCCTTTCAGGCTGTGAGGATCATTTGAAAAGCTTCTTTTCAACTTTTTGATCTATACAATCACAGCGAGATCTGACAGTATGAGGGTCGCTTTCCTTGTAGCCCTTTGCTTATGTAAGTACAATAGTGGTTTTCTAATCGTTAACAAGTCATCGTACCTTGGGTCGTTTCCAATGACCCGTAAACAAAGTGGAATGGGACGGTTGGGGGTGGGGGGGGGGCCTTGTGGGTGTTTACCTCGCTCTCTGAAGGTCATGGAGCTCGTTACATGGATACGTCGTTCATTTCACTAGTACAATATTTATCGGGATGCTTGGGGATAGTCGGACCAGCTGTGGAAAAGATAGTGGCCAATTAACTCAGTTCAGTACATCAACTGAATGTTATTAGACAGTTAATCTAAAACATTTTTATCTTTGTAGCAATATAGATTCTAAAGTATAAAATCTAATACAATATTAGCCATAAGTAAAAAAAAAAAAAAAAAAAGTAAAGTTCCCTTTTCACGCCTTTCGACGCATCGGGCATATGGGCAGAGCGTCCCATATTTTTACAGACCATCAGCACTCTGTGGGTAATGTGGTCAGCATTACGCCGGCTGTCTTTACTTTCCCAGGACAGCCCATCCTGGTACCCATTTTAGGCTGGGTCGACCTGCGACGTCCCATACCACGATAAAAATCCACGAATATTAGCCATGCAGTTCGTTATTTTTTTTTTAACTTTCAGCTAAACCTGCAATCTAAGTAAAATCGAATAATACATACCATCATTACATAAAGTCGACACAGCCTATAATGCTACAAGGTAACGTCCTGAGAAAAAAACATGCTGGCTTAATACTGATCACACCACCCATCGAGAGCTGATAGGTCTTTAAAAATATATGTTTAGCATTTATGTCCGATACACCCGAAGGCATGGAAAATATTAAGATTTGAACTTATGACTACAGTGTCAGAAGACAAAGTGCTAGCATTGCACGTTCTGAGTACAAACAGTGATAGAAATGTCTTTAAGAGCAGAAGTGCCAAAGATTTTCAAACTGACAAAAGTATCTCTCATCAATGGGAGTGTTACTGAAGCAGAGGTGGTACAGTAAAATGACTCCTTTTTCCACGCCTTCAGGCTTTTTTGGCGTATATGTCTAGACCTACATTTTGTAGACCAATAGACACTCTGTCAATACCACACCGACCGCCTTTACTTCCTATTACTTTAGCTTGTGCCCGTTTAGGCTGGATGCACCTGGCAGCTTCATCAGGACCTGGATCCACGACCTTCAGATTTGCAGGCGAGCCTCTAGCCGCTCCCATAGGTAGTAAGAGAGTAAATAGGGAAAACCAGTGGTGCATCGGACATATGGTGATGCAGCCATATTGTATTTTAAGATCTTCACTCTATGATCAGTATTAACTTCGGCTGCCAGTACATCTTAGGACTTTGCCTTATACTCATTTTAGGCTGGTTAGACTGAGGAGCCAAGGTCTTTTGATCGAAAAAATCCATGTTGATGTGGATTTGAACCTGAACAAGCATGCAACAATGGCGCTACTGTCGCTTTCCGAGAAAAGTGAAACATTCTTTCTCATTGATGGTTTGATCCTTTTCAACATCATCATGTAGAACGTCGCTCTCATCACGGTCTGCCTGAAAGAAACTCGGTCACGGTCACTGAATGTAAGACGGGCCTGCGTGCCCAATTTGTAACCCTTTCAAAATAAAGTTCGTTCGTTCGGTCTCTCGCCAGCTCTCCCGCCTCATGTACTATCATACTCAAGGAGTCACTTATATCCTGTGCCCATCTTCGTGTCGTTCGGCCCCTTCCCCTCCTTCCTGGTACCATGTCTTCTGCTATAATTTTTTTTTTCTAATCCGTCGTGACGCTTGATTTGACCAAAATATTTCAGCTACCGAGACAAGATGCTGTTTATAAGCCAATCTTCCTTGTTGTTCAGATCTCTCAAGATGTCATTATGTCAATCCCTTCCAGTATAAGATATTTTCAATAAACACGAAGAAACAACTCTCCGAAAGCAAATTATTGCAGCGCTGTCACTACATAACATCATTAGTGATCAGTGCCAGTTTTTTTCCGGGCGAGAAAGGCTTCGATAGAAACTTCCAATTTTTCTTGTGTGCGTGTACATCGTTCCTTCCCCCCCCCCCCACCCCTTTTAGTCAAGCTTTATAGTCCTATAGTTCAGGGGATTAATTAGATGGAAGAATGCGTTATGACGTTACACCATATAAGGCAAACAGCAAATAATGATAGGGACGTAGACCAAGAACAGTATGGAAAGATAACATCAGAAAAACTGTATAACAGCAGGATGTGTCGAGGCGGCCGGAAAAACTTGAAGCAGAACCGTGTATCTCCCTCAACAACCGAAGCGGTGAAGGAGGAAGTAAAGAAGAAGATGAAGAAGTTGTCATTATCAAACTCTGCAGTCACGTCCAAGATTTAAAAAAAAAATATTAGTTGAGATGAGATTAGATGTTATGCTTTTTCTAAAAAAAAAAATTTAAAAATTAAATGTTTACTGTCCACTTTACTATATGGTAATTTGAAGTAGATTATAAATAGATATTATTGTAGTGTCTGGCCAGTGAAAATGAGATTTCGCCTGTTTCATTTCCTTGACTCATTCTGGCTTGACAGCTTTTAAATATTTCTTCCGATCTGAAACAATAGTAACTGATCGTGCTACTAGCACCATATACACAAACGATATTTCTCATTTCAGTGTGTGAGTTTGTGGTACATACATCACTTCTTTAATCATGGTTATTGTCTTGAAATCGACCCGGCTGCCACGAGATAGCAAAATAACTGATATTGTGTATTTGAGTAGTATCGTCTATTCTATGTATGTACTGAAGAAGGCTCCATGGCCGCAACGTTCACGTTTTGTTTGTGTTTGTAATAAGTTGAAGCTCGCTGATATA